GATTTTTTCTTTTTCAGGAATACAATTTCATTGTAAAACAAATCAAAGGAATAGATAACACTATTGCTGATGCACTTTCCAGGATATATATATATATATATATATATATATATATATATATATATATATATATATATATATATAAAAAAGTATTATCGATAATGATTGAAAATCAATATCGGATGAAGTCTTTGAGAAATACAATATTTAATATTTGAGACTTGTAAATTTTTTTTTGTTTAAAAAAAATGGGGGATTTCTCTCCAAAAGACCTATATTAATTATTTTTTCATTATAGGTGAGTTTGAATTTAGTGTAGGTCACATCCGATTGGTTAATCAGGGCAAAGCTCACAAGCCTATTTCTATTCTGTTTATTTTTTCGAAAAAAGAGGAAGCATTCTGCTTTTGAAATTAAATTAATCGTTCACTCGCCAGTAGTTTAACATCGCCCGAGGAGGCACATTTGTAGTACTGAAGCATGATTGTAATTGTGTAACAATTTTTAACATGCTTTTGTTTTAATATTCTAAAATAAATAATATTATATTAATGTGTATATATATATATATATATATATATATATATATATATATATATATATATATATATATATATATAATTTATATATATATATATACTATATTAATCTATATATATATATATATACATATATATATATCAGTGCATATATATATATATATATATATATATATACTAATGCATGCATATATATATATATGTGTGTATAGCTCTTGAAAATATATTTCAATTGAGCATTGTTGAATGACAAGCTAATTCTATTATCAACGGCCACCTGCGCTAATGCAAAGCTCTTCAGTAAAATGAATAGAACCCTATGGCTGATTGGCATTTGTTTACATTCGTAAAAAAATACGCTAGATTTAGCTCCTTTCATTCTGTCGAATGGCGATAGCTCAGTGGTTGAAACTCTGTCTGATGCCAAATCGGTTGGGTTTCAATCATAGCTTGAGGCATTCGGATGTCTAGTCGCACTGAGGAGATGTGATACAGCAAAACAGTACTGTCTGCGAATGACATATATATATATATATGTCTGATTGAATAAATTACAAATATTACGTTTGCTTATTTTTATCATATCCTTTCATATTCACGAATATATCATATCCTTTTTTATCCTTTTATATTCACGAATATTTTTCCGTATTCTCCGTTAAAACACTTCCCTGATTTTTTAATTTTTGTACTTGCTTCATTTTGATATCTCCGATTTGCAATTCACAGTTTGGGTTAATCCTTTTGCCAACAACCATGCATTCTATTTTCTTGCAGTCTTTTCTTCTCGCTTTCGTTCATTACCTTATGTAAGAGTGTAAGTTTCTTTCTGCCTCTGCTCTGAAGACTGTGTCATCTGCATACCTTTTGGTGTTAAGACTGTGATCGCCAATAATGAATCCTGGTAGGACTACTAGTCCTCTCAGAATCGCCTCGCTGTCTAGGTCGAATAATGCCGGTGAGAAGATACATCCATGTTTCACACCCCTTTCTATTTTTGTGCATCTGCTGAACTCATTTTCTACCGGTATGCAGGCAGTTTGCTGACTGTATAGGTTCTTCGATATTCTATTCTTCACGAATATATAGATATAGATCTTTGTGGAGTACTTTATCAAACGCCTTTGCGCAATCTATAAAACACAGGTACCCGTCTTTCTGGTGCCCTTTCTGATAATATTCTGAGCATAAATATCGCATACCTTGTTCCTGTCCTATTTCTGGTCTGATTCTGCTGCGCACTCTATTCATCAGAATTCGAATGATAAGTTTCGTTATGTGACTCATGAGGCTGATTGTCCGATGGATTTCACATTTGTTTGCACTTGGCTTCTTAAGCAGTGCTATGAAAATAGATCTACTTAGGTCTTTCGGTATATCACTACTGTTATAGAATTCATTTATTATTTCTGTGATCTTTATACCGAAATCGTCTAAGGCTTCCGGCATCTCTATCACAATTCCGTCTGGCCCTGCCGCTTTGTTTCTGTTCAATTTGACCAGTACGGATTCCACTTCAGATTTTAATATTTCCGGTTCGTAGATATTTCTGGGCATTGCCGGTTGTTCTCTTTTATCATGGAAGAGTAGAATTACCAGCAATATGTTTCTATATTGTAAAATGACCAGCAATACAATTTTATAGAATTAACAACATTTTATAGCAAAACGACCAACAATACATTTTGTCTGACGTACAATTACGTTTAAAATATATTTAGTTGATGCTATAAAATTGTGTTCAAAATATTTAGCTTTCGGCATTAAATGAGCGGTAGAGGTGTTGATATACCGCTAAAAAAATCAACCAAACAACGAACATGAAAGAACTTTTTCATGACAATCCATAAAGCATCCTACAATTTCTTAAAGAAACCAAACTGTATTCCAAAATATAAATTCAACAAAACTACAACATAAAACACATCTATCACCCACGTCTAGTAATCATTCCACCCCACCACAAACATGTATATGCACAAAAGCTGAGTATCATCTGCCATGTATTCTATTGGAAAAGCAGAATAACATATTTTTATTACTTCACAGGTTCCCCAACCATTAAATTTTGGCATTAAATGACCCATAAGGAGTTGATATGACGTTAAACAAACAAATCAAATTAAAAAGTGATTGGGTTTATGCAGGAAGGATAATGGATGACTATAGACGTGAAGATATCAGAATTATTGTGATTGCGAAAAGAAGCGATGAACAAATTATAGAAGGAACCAGAAACTCAATCCTAAACAGGAAACAAGGATTAAACTCCGACTCCTAAAAAAACAAAAAAAACAAAAAAAAAACAGGAAGGAGTGTGAACCTATTTGGAGAGGAAAAAAATTTATGAATAAAAGTAGTTCAAAATATCGCATCTCGATCCCCATCCCCATTTCCTTACACAACAGCTACGTAAACCATCTTCTTGGCCAGTTTTTGAATTATTTATTTATTTGCAATTGCTTTAGCAAAAAAAAAAAAAAAAAATAAATCCTAACCCCGTTCTTAAGCCCCATTAATCCAACACGCATAAACGCTTTGGTGACTTAATCCAAAGATACGAAACATAAACATGAAAAACAAAGTTATGGCTACCTTAGATATCAAATCACTATGCGCAAATATGCCCGTTACGAAAGGCATATTAAGAAACCATTTAAAAAAAAAAATTTTTTTTCTTATTAGTATTTTGTCAAGATACTCAAAACAAACGTTTAATAAATTCTCTAATTTTAAAGAAATTTGAGGGGTGGATACAGCTATCTATCGATGTTATAGTGATACTGATATTCATGAATACTTTCATGGTAATTGTTCGAATGAGATCTTCGCTCATTCGTACCTAGACGTTTTGAATTGCACATCCATGCTTTCCAGTCAATTCTAATCTTCAAAAATTTAAATGCAATGCCAATCGCTATCTACTGTCTTCCTGATTAGTCTTCCGTACTTGTTCCTTAGTGATGATTATCTTTTCTTCTTCTTCTTCTTCTTCTTCTTCTTCTTCTTCTTCTTCTTCTTCTTCTTCTTCTTCTTCTTCTTCCACACCCAATTACACCTTGTGTTTTAATGAGTTTACTGTTGTTAACTCGATTTAAAAAAAGAAGTTTATGAAATTTCTTTATTCCATAAGTTTATAAACAGATTCCGAAGATTATTTGCAGTATTTGAGTCTCCAAAGCCTACTAGTCTTATTAGTTAAGCCATAGCTTGAGAAGTGAATATAACGAACCCAACTGGAATTGGAACTCGACTCTTCGATTAATAATTAAGAACCATTATTTATTACACCCTCCACATATCCAAACTTTCAGCAACATTGTATTCCCAAGCGGTCGGACACCTCTTTAGGTACTGACCAGGCTAGATGTTGCTTAACTTCGATGATAGTACAGAAACTGCTGTAAGTCCTAAGAAAAAAACAAAAAAAACAAAAAAAAAAACGAATAATATTAAAAAAAAGATTTAAAAAAATGAATTGGTTTGATTTATTGATTGATTTGTTTTTAACGGACTATCACCCTTTTAGAAAGGAGTGGAAAAGCGGAGAAAAGGAAGAACAAGAAGGAGAAAGAGAAGGGGGACATAGAATTAAAAGCTGAGAAACATGTAGGAGAAGAAAAAGTAAGAGAAAGATGAAGAAAAGAAAAAATAAGCAAAAGGCAAGAGATAAAATATAAAAAAGAAAGAAAAGAACGAAGAAAGAAAAAAAGAAAGAAAAGAAGATGGAAAAAAATACTAAATTGGGGTCCCATACTGTGTGGACAAAGACAAAAAACGGTACAATCCCCACTGCCTGTTCCGCAAAGTTGCCATGGTAACACCCTAGTACATTTCCCTATTAGCACAATACATTGCTACTGCTTTGGAGTCGGAATCTCCAAGCTTGCTTAATTTGTTCCTGTTCTTCGAGCATTTTTTTTTTATCTTGTTCTTTAATCTTTCTCTTTTCTTTATTTCTTCCAAATATTTTCATTTTTCTCTTGGAGTTTTCCGCCAGCCAATGACGTCATATCTTCTTGATGTCACTGTCTCGTGTTCTTTTGACGTCACGTCCATTTTTAGAAAAATAAAATTGAGATTTTCTGATCGGGAAATATGCACTCATAAAGCTGACTGCGAAATCGATAATTCAATAAACTAAAATGTATTTTTGAAAAATAAATTCAATAAAAAGTTTTATAAATAGACATACGAGTTGTGGTGAGATGATTAGCAAGCAGTGCATTTCCTACTGTAGTGAGTTCGATTTTCATTGGCTGCTTCAAGGCTGTGGCGTTGAGACCGAGCAGGCTATGTTGTATAATGGTTCTCTTCCTGAGCGTTTGGTCATAATTAGGAAAGTATTTAATTAATTTCCAGGTAATATAGGAAAAAGAAGATAAAAAGGAGAGGAAAGGTCATCAAAGATGTTTATTCTTTTTTAGAACCAATAGTCAATAATTATATATAGTAATTGGTTCAAAGAAGAAATCGAAAGAAAGAAAGAAAGAAAGAAAGACGAATTAAAAGAGAAGAGAAACAAGAAGTGAATGTGACAAAAATAAAAGAAATTAAGGGGAAGAGGGAGAATAAACAAAAAGAATAGAAAAACAAGAAAGAAAGCAGACAAGCAAGCAAAAAAGAAAGAAAGAAAGAAAAATTAAAGAGAAGAGAAACTAGGGGAAAAACAAAAGAAAGTAAGGAGGAGGAGAAGAGAAACTACAAGAAGTGAATCTGAGAAAAATAAAAGTAAGGAGGAAGAGGAGATTTGAAACAAAAGATAATAGAAAAACAAGAAAGAAAGCAGGCAAGCAAGCGAGAAAGAAAGGAAGAAAGAAATAAAGAAAGAAAAATTGAAAAAGAAACTAAGAGTAAAATAAAAGAAAGTAGGAAAGGGGAGGGGTAGGAGAAGAGGAGTCGTAGAAGAGTTAAAACAAAAAAGAGGAGAAAAAGAAGAAACAATCAAGCAAAAAGACAGCAAGCAAGCAAGAAAGAAAAGAAAGAAAGAAAGAAAGAAATAGTGAATATTCTAAATGAATAAGATAGAAAACGCAAGGAATATGAAAGAAAAGAAAGAAAGAAAGAAAGAAAGAAAGAAAGACAGAAAGAAAAGAAAGAAAGAAAAAAATAGTGAATATTCTAAATGAATACGATAGAAAATGCAAGGAATATGAAAGAAAAGAAAGATAGAAAGAAAGACAGAAAGAAAAGAAAGAAAGAAAGAAAGAAATAGTGAATATTCTAAATGAATAAGATAGAAAACGCAAGGAATATGAAAGAAAGAAAGAAAGAAAGAAAAAGCGAACATTCTAAATGAATAAGATAGAAAACGCAAGGAATATGAAAGAAAGAAAGAAAGCAAGAAAGAAAGAAAAAGCGAACATTCTAAATGAATAAGATAGAAAACGCAAGGAATATGAAAGAAAAGAAAGAAAGAAAGAAAGACAGAAAGAAAAGAAAGAAAGAAAAAAATAGTGAATATTCTAAATGAATAAGATAGAAAATGCAAGGAATATGAAAGAAAAGAAAGATAGAAAGAAAGACAGAAAGAAAAGAAAGAAAGAAAGAAAGAAATAGTGAACATTCTAAATGAATAAGATAGAAAACGCAAGGAATATGAAAGAAAGAAAGAAAGAAAGAAAGAAAGAAAGAAAAAGCGAACATTCTAAATGAATAAGATAGAATACGCAAGGAATATGAAAGAAAGAAAGAAAGAAAGAAAGAAGAGCGGAAGTAAAACAAGAACAAACTCAGGTAACAAAGCAAGAAAAAGAATAAAGAGAAGAGTAAGAGAAAAAAAGAAGAAAATGAAGAAGCAATTAGAAGAAAAGAAAAAGGGAAACAGAAGGAGGAGGAGAAACAGGAGGAGAAGCAGGAGGAGAAGAAGAAGAATAGAAATATTAATTCATATAAATTACAAAGTCTTTTGAAATATGATCGTCTCGGTGTTCATCATTTCTCAATTCTTGTTAGAATCGCTGCTGCAATTTTACTCATAATATTTCTTAACACATCAGGTGTTTCGCAAAAGATTACAGACAAAGCTAATTAATTGTAAAGCGAAATAAGTATGCATGGTTCTAATTATTGTTTTGTATTTAGATACACAAAACAAAAACAACGCTTTGTCTTTGAAAACTGGGTAATTTATATAGTTTATTAAATTAAAAAAATGAAATGGTGAACTTTTAAAGCATTTGCCACCAAGAAGACGATGGCCTTGTTGAAAGTTAATATTTCTATTAATATCTTGTATCTTAAATCAAACTGCAATCGTTTGCATATATAATATATTCCTCAATCATGAGAGTGCAGAATAACGATGAGAGCTTATAAAACAAGGAACAATTTAAAACAGGGTGCTTTTGCTTTATCAACATTACACGTTTGATAGAAAAGTTTGAAACCACGAAGACACTGCATGATGTTCCTTCAAGTGGGAGACATTCCTTAAAAGCTGAGCGCGCACCTTAAGTTATGGATAGTCTGTCAATAATTTGATAAAACGTGTTTTTTTTAAGCATTTCACCCCAAGCAAGACGAGAGTGCCACTAGCACGCAAGGGGTTGCAGAGAGTGAGAGCAAGAGTAAAGAGACGTGATAGAGTAAAGGATGAAGAGAAAGACGAGAAATTAGATCAAGGCATCTGAAGATTGAAATTGCATTTGAATAATTGAAGATTATAGCTATCAGGGAAGCAAGTAAGAGGAAGGGAGTTCCACACACGGGAAGTGCAAGACATGAAGCTATTGGAGTAAAAGATATGGCTACATTTAACAGTTTCGACAGTGAAAGGGAGGGACTGAGATGCCAACCTAGTAGCACGTTTTAATCGATGCAGTTTGGGAACCAGCGAAAGTAGCTCGTCGGAGCAGTTACCGTGAAAGTATTTGTAGAAAGGTCAGAGGAAAATGACGGCACGTCTGTGAGAAAGTGACTGTCGACGAGGTGCCAGATCAGGGCCAATCACATTGTATATCCGTCCCTGGATATTGTCGAGGACCTTGAGACGAACAGCGGGATCTCCAGATCATCAAAATGAAGGAACAATAGAAAATATGTCGTAATTTCATAAACACCATTTCATACCAATTTGTTTCAATATGTATTTAGTAGTTTTTACATTTGCTTACTTTGCATTATAATGCTCTTAAAACTTGCATTTATTTATTTTCAGCCTGTATAATAATATTCATCAATCAATCATTTATTTTTAACCTGTTTAATAATATTCATCAATCAATCATTTATTTTCAGCCTGTATAATAAAGTTCATCAATCAATCATTTATTTTCAGCCTGTATAATAATAGCCATTGCACTATTCTGCTTTGAATGTCACCTTGAACCACAATTGTGAAATGGTGACCACAGTGTTACAAAATGCGCTAACTGAATAAATGTTTATCTATTGTAATATAATTACAATTTTGGAACAAGGCCGAAGAGGAAATGGGTGAGGCTAGTCAACACTGACTATCCTAAACTTAGCTAATCTGATTCGCGACCCATTCATTCATTACAATTTTTTCTCTCACCACAAGCACTCATCCATCACCACTCGCTCCAATATCGCATATTCACAGGGTTCTTACTAAAATACCCATGACATAAAAATTTGAATAAATGTATATCTTAAGAAGTGTTTTCTGACAAGTGATAACGTCATACCTTGATGTCAATGCATCGCTCGTGTTCTCCTGACGTCACTTCTATATAAAAAAAAAAGAAAGAAAAAAATCGTTGACAGATTCGCTGATTGGGAAACCTGCATGTGTAATGCAGTTTGCGAATCGATACCTAAACAACCTAACACATATTTTTAAAGAAATAAATTCAATAAAATGTGTCATAAATAAACACAAATAGAGTACTAGCCTGGGGATAATGATTAGCAAGCAAGTCGAGCAGATCATTACTACCACATACTGAGCTCAACCTTCATTGGATCCCATTCACTTTTTGCCTTGTGCCAGACTAAATTAAACTGAATATATAAGTTTTGGGAGTCTCGTTGTAGAGCAACGGTTGAAAAGTTATATCGCTTTGTTAAGTGAATTTTAAAGACAATATTTTAGATATTTGTACATAGATTTATTCACCTTATGTGATATTTTGACATCTTTGACGTAGCTTTATGGTATCGTCATCGCAGAACAGGGTATCCTTCTAGGGGATGAACTGGGCGAAATGTTTTTTATAGGCTTCCAGAGAATTAAAGTTATTTTCATGAAGAGGACTTTGTAGCGATTAAGTGTTAATCTGAGAGTAAAAGTTCAGGTGACTGCGGCGAATGTAATTGGGCATCTTAGCCAAGATCTAACAAATTCTGCCGGGTCTGCAAAGAGACGTGTGAGATCTGTCGGTGTCCTGTTGGAAGAGGACACCCTTCCGATTGGCCAATTGTGTTTAATCGGTCCAAATGAAAACAGTACATGTCTGAATTCAACGTATAATTTTGCAGAAGATCGTAATGCACAAAAGCCATCTAATCAAACCGAAAATGGAACACTGATGTCACATTTGGGCGGAGGTTGCCCAGTTCTCATTCTCCAGCCTTGATAGAGCCCAAAAGTGCCTCAGAGTTCTTGTGGGTGACGATTTATTTTCCACCCTCCAACCTCTCTCTCATGTGGCAAGCCTCTCGCTACTTTATCGCCACTTTCACGAAAGTGCTCGAACGAACTTCATTTCTTGGTTCCGCCATGTCTAGCCTTCACGGCTAGGACCCGCCATGACCCTTACATTGTTGCAAACCAGATTTGGTAGTAATACTCAATTTTTTGATTGATCCATGATCAGCATCTTCCCGGAACCACTGCTTCAATTGAACTGACTCCCAAGAGGATGTTTTCCTGATTACTACGATCTTAATTTGTTCAAGTCGAGGGTTAATCGTTATATTCACTTCCTATCTACTTAAATTGCCTTCTAATGTAGTCCTCTACTGTAGTAGCCCCCCCCCGGCCTTGTACAGGAGGAACTTTACAATAAAAAAGAGAAAACATATTTAGCGTCACCTTCTTCGGATGTAGAGCAAGTTTTGGAATGGTTAACAGTAAAACATTTCGCTTTCACAGGACCTTTTTTTTACTCCACATTTTTGGAAGCAATCTATTTTTCATAGTCTGTGATTGTTATTTAAAAAAAAAACAGTCGGTTTTTGTTGTGATTGACTAGAGAATCCCAGATAGAAATCGCAAGACACTTAAATATGTTACCAATTCATTTAACCAAGTGTTTTCAAATGCATTACAACGTTCATAATGAGAAATGTGGAGTATCTCTACGATATCCAGTGTCACTGGTCTGGATTATTTTTAATTGGTCTTTCATTTTGCTCATCATACACGAACCAAAATAGTACTCTCAGCTATGGCACCATCTCCATAAAAATCACATATCTTTTTTGCTGTTTGTACAGTGTTTTTCTTTTCTGAAAGTTAAAAAAAAAAGAAATCGCGCAAATGCATTTTAGTTCATTTCCATTTATAACGTAAAAACATTTTAATTTCACAGTTCACGTAAGATTCATATAGAATGACGCATTGAAATATCACCTTTCAGAATATGTATATATATAATAAATTCTCGTGACGTGTGAAATGAAATCAAGCGTTCAAACGATAACTATTGAAAAAGAACCTCGATGTATATATACTCGTTTTGAAAAACCCCGGTTAGTTCAACTTGTAATATAACAAATTGATGTCCGAGGAAAAATTGGAAATAAATAAAGAACCAAGAATATAACATCCTTTCGTCAAGTGCTTGGGAAAACCCCAAAGCGAGTAAAAGACTAAACGTAAAGTGCTCAATACACTAAGTAGAACCAAAACAAAAATAATCCTAAGGAGCCAGACATACCTACCTAGGTTTCACCTAAACGGATCTTCAGGGTAAAACTATATATATATATATATATTAAGAAATGGACAAGGTCCGACAATTTATTTATTAAAGACATTTTTTATGTTTAACGTTGTTATTTATAGATACAAGTATTTAAGCAAATGCTCTGTTTATGATAAACAGTATTAAATAACATTTACCGTTAACATAAAAATGTCTTTAATAAATAAATTGTCGGACCTTGTCCATTTCTTAATATATGACGTCATTTGTTTACATTTGATACGCCAGAGCAGTTATGAATGTACGAGATTCATGGAAGATTGAAGTTTATAAGCAGTAAATTCGACCTTGTCTACCGAAAGGTTCTTCGTAGCCCAGAGGTAAGGCACGTCAGCGTAAATGACGGTTCCGTATAGGATGCAGGTTCGAATCCTGTCAAAGAACGAATATTTTCTATGAAAATTTCTCGGACATTCAGGCCGGTAAATGTTATTTAATACTGTTTATCATAAACAGAGCATTTGCTTAAATACTTGTATCTATAAATAACAACGTTAAACATAAAAAATGTCTTTAATATATATATATATGTACATAGTGCGAAGGATAAATTGTCGTCTAAATTGCGCAAAAATTAAAATAACAGTGAGATCTCATTTTAGCAGATATATTTACGAAAATTACACAAACATATCTTGAAATACTAAAGAGTAAATTTATTAAATAAAATCGCCATTTTCTTCAACAGCCTCCAGACGGCTTCGGAATCTCTTGCAACTCTTCTGGACGCTCTGCTTGTTTAAGTTGGTGAATGCTGCTATAATACTTGCCATCAGTTCATCTTTGGTGTTACACAGTTTTTGTTGGTCCCTCGCAGTTTGGGCAGTTAGGTGACCAGATGTAAGGGGTGATGTGGTTGCAGAAATTGTCTGGCAGCCATGACTGGGGTACTTTTGCTTGTGTGGTATGGTGCAGGTTTGTGTTGCCAGACATAGGGTCTTCCATAAGCCTCCCTCTTGACCCAGAGCAGCACTGCCTCCTCAAGACACTTTGTAGGTCACCGCATCGAGTCTGAGTCCCTCATCAACAAATTCGGGAGTTCTTTTCTTATCAGAACAATCAGAGTGAGTTTTCAGAGCTGCCGTAATTCGTAATCACAATTAGACTCACCCAGATCTTCTGCAATGTCCTCAGATTGACACCCAAACACAGTCTGAAATGTTCGTATTGGAGCTTCCGGCGCTAATACCAAGCAGTACAGCATGCCGTTTCCAAATTTCTGGTGGAGTGAATTGCAGCATGGTGCTCTTTTTCTCACAGACGGTACCAAACTGAACCTTCTATATTGTGCAGTCGACAAAATCAAAACAAACAACGCGCATGCGTGAAATTAAAAGTATAAAATGGCTACAATTTATTCATCGCACGCCGTCCATAATTTAATTACGAATTCAGTCTTTGGCGAAAAGTAATATTCACCAAAAGAAAGCTTAAATTAAATGAGTGCTCCATACAGTTTTCATAAAACGAAAATGTAGGGCAAGATGGCAAAATGTCCGAAACGTTGACCTTTCTGCAACCACAGTTTAGTCAGGCAGGAAGTTAGAGTCTTTCGTTTAAAAAAAAATATTTATAATTGTACTTGCGTCAGCAGTGGAAGGAGAAACTGTGAAAGAAAAAGAGATAGCGAGGTAAAAGCTGAATAGAAAGGGTTTATATATATACAGTAGCGTCCAAAACTAAGGGACAAAATTTAAAAACCCAATATTTGTTAGAAATAACAACTGTGAAAAGCTGAAATTTTGACAACTGGTAGTCGTTATCATCCATAATAACATACTAAAATTTGAATCATTTGCAAAGGATAGAAAAAGAATTATAACAATTTTTTATTTATTTTCAAAATAGGAGGTCCAAAAGTAAGGGACAAAATTGAGAAAACAATGTAAACAGTATGCTATATTCAAATTTTTTGATTTCCTCTAAAGAATAAGTCTTACTTAGTCATTTGTAAACGTTGCATCAGCCGGCACCATGGCGAAACGCCAAAAACTTGATTACTCTGTGAGACAAGCTATTGTGAAGCTACACAAGGAAAAGCACACCATTAGAGAGATTTAAGAGAAAGTGAAACGTTCCAAGAGTGTTGTAGGCAGGGTTGTTAAATCCTACAATGATACTGGCAAAATAGTTAGTGCTTTTAAAACCGGCAGACCCCGCAAAACTTCAGCAAGAGAAGATCGAATAATGCAGAGTATCTCATTAAAGGACCGTTTTAAGTCTTGCACAGAAATTAAAAGGGTTATGAATAGTACCTCATGTGTTAATGTGTCAAGACAGACTGTTTGTAGACGACTGCAAGAAATAGGGCTGTTTAATTGAACCCCAGGGAAGAAACCACTTGTTAGTTCGAAGAATAAGAAGAAGAGATTAGAGTTTGCAAACATGTATGTAATTTGGACATATGAAAATTGGGCAAAAGTATTTTTCAGTGATGAAAGCAAGTTCAATTTATTTGGAAATGATGGAAAAAACAATGTAAAGAGACGTATTGGTGAAAGATTAAGTGCAAAGTGTACTAAGAAAACTGTCAAGTTTGAGGGCGGAAGCGTCATGGTATTTGGAATGTTTTCTAGCCAAGGTACAACGCCTCTTGTCCGGTTACAAACTCGTGTAAACGCGCAGATCTATAAAAACATTGTTCAAGATCATGTTGTGCCAATCATACAGAATTCAGGTTTCGATAGGGCTACCTTTATGCAAGATAATGCCCCATGTCACAAAGGTGATAATGAGTTACCTTAGCGAGCAAGATTTGGAAATTATGGATTGGCCACCGCAAAGTCCTGACTTAAATCCAATAGAAAATCTTTGGAAGACCTTAGGAGTGAAAGTTATGGAAAGAAATCCCACTAACACGGAGGATTTGTGGGTGAAGCTTCAAGAAGAATGGTCTAAAATTAGTATCGAGGATTGTCAAGAACTGATTCGTTCTTGTAGTCGAAGATGTGCAGCTGTCATTGAGAGCAAGGGCTCATTTACTAAATATTGATTGTACATGTATTTTTATTGTTTTTTGCCGTTTATATTGTTTTTTTCAATTTTGTCCCTTACTTTTGGACGTTCCAAATTTGAAAATAAATAAAAAATTGTTATAATTCTTTTTCTATCCTTTGCAAATGATTCAAATTTTAGTATGTTATTATGGATGATAACGACTACCAGTTGTCAAAATTTCAGCTTTTCACAGTTGTTATTTCTAACAAATATTAGGTTTTAAAATTTTGTCCCTTAGTTTTGGACGCTACTGTATATATATATATATATATATATATATATATATATATATATATATATATATATATATCTTAAGGCACCTCGAGGCGGTTTAATGGTTAGCACGCTTGAATCGTCAGAACAATGAATAGTGAATTCGATCCTCAATGGGTGCCCCATACTTTCGGCCTTGTGCCACATCTAAGCTATGTTTGAAAATTACTATATATATATATATATATATATATATATATATATATATATATATATATATATATCTTACGAAATCGTCTGAATATTGATATACACTCACTGTATCCGTTGCAGAGGAGTAAGACCTCTCCAAAATGGTCTCTCATGCTATGGATGTTTCTTAAGGTCCCATGCCTGGATGACCATCAATGTTAATATATAATTTGTTTTTCTTTTACGTTATTAATTACTTTTTTCTTAAATATCGTTCATGAAGCTGTCAGTGAAAATGGACCTTGACAAACGCATATAATGTTAACAACAAAAACGTTCTACAGGATTACTTTATAGGACTTTATATCGTGTGTGTATTTGATTAAAGACGACGATCAAGACATTAATTATTTAGTTACTTTTTTTATTGATAACATAAAGAACCACTAGGTAACGTTTATCAACTAACATGTTTCATTTTCATGAATGCTTCATCAGAGAATGAGTTAGAGAGAAAAAGAAGAAAGAAGTTCTGGTATTTTTACTTTTGTCTCCTTTGATTTTCATTGGTTAATTCCTGTTTTCATCCTCTGTCTTCTGAGGTTTCGTCTTATATTGTCCTGCTAGCCCACACCCATGACTATTCCTAAATAAATATAAATAAACAATATTATGACCAGAAGTAGCCCGAACTATCTATATATAAACTTCCTCCAACCACCAAACTACTATAACTAAGCATTCTAAAAGTCATGACCATAAATAAATCTAAGCGTTAGCTCTAAAGAAAACAAAAAAGGGAAGGGTCGTTTTCTCCTTCCTCCAATTCTCTTATGTGACCTATATATATAGCACCCTAAATGCAGTGTATATATACAACCCGTTTGGTCTAAAGATAGTATTAAGTGATGAAACTAATAGTCACTATGTAGTACATTTTATGCAACACATAAATACAAATGTATGTGTGTGTGTCTCTGCGTGTATCACCATTATATCCATCATAGATAATATATACACTATACATTTAAAGACTTTTTGCACACACACAAACATACACGGAGACTCTCTAACACACAGACATACACGGAGACTCTCTAACACACACACATACATAAATAAAAGTGACTGACAAGTGCCTGAGGATGTCGTTTTGAAAGAAAATTATGTGATCGACTTGCCGTTTATAAAATTGAATTCAATTTGTCCACATTGGAGTTTCTGCAATTCTATTTGGCAAAGACAAACGTTGTCAGTTTTTATGGCGAATCTTCAATGGGATACCAGCCGCAAGGCATTCTGGGATATGACGTAATCATCTATAACCTGCCATGGTAACAGCAGTGATTGGTTGCAAAAATAGGAAGGATTTGGGAAGATTGAAAACAAAGGACGAATGAAAAAAAAAAAAAAAACGGAAAGAAAGAAAAGCAATGAAATAAAAAAAATTGAAACTAAAAAAAAAGTTTAGGAGAAATGAAAGAAAGTATTCTTAAATAATTAATGGAAAGAATGTAATTTGAAGGAAAAATAAAAAAAGTTAAAGCAAACAAAGAAAAAGAGAAGAAGATTAAAACCGTCAAAGAAAGAAAGATGAGACAGAAAAGTAGGAAAAAGGAAGAAAAAGCATAGAAAGGCGAGGAAGTAAATAAATGCACAAATGAAAGACAAAAAAAGAAAAGTGAACGAGAATATATGAAGAAAACTATCCCATCAAAGAAAGACAGAAAAAATGAATGAAATAACAAGTTGAAAAAGAAACGGATATGAAGAAAAGTGGAATAGAAAAAGATATGTCATGGAAAGGAATATATTTGTTCGAAGTAGCAAAGTGGTTTGGGACTACTGTAACTGGGTAGGACAATCTAGCAGGTAACCGTAATGGACTGGTCCTCGTCGTAGTGGTAGGCAATAGGCGTCGTCAATAGGCGCCGTCAATAGGCGTCCTCCACATCAGTCTGTATTTATGGCTGACACCAGCCAATCATATTACTGTGAGGGGGAACCCAGGTGTATGCATATTCATTACATCAGAAAACGAGCACAACATCAAGAAAGAAAAAGAAACCTAGGAAGAAAAAAGAGGAGATATAAACCTTGATAAAAGAGAGAGAGAGAGAGAGAGATAACAGAAAATCAGTCAGTTATGTGCCATACGTGTTACACGCTTAGGCGATCATGTATCTTTCGATACATAACTAACGAGGCAGATTTTTTCATGCAGTAGGATGCTATTTCTTTCTGTAGTAGACCATTTGCCATCCAAGTCTATAGAATCAGGTCTGTCCTGCTATGTACCCATAGTTGGTTGGGGAGAAGAAGAGGATTCATACCTTTCTCAAGGGTATTAGTATGTGAGTGAATCTAATAGAAAATAAAGAAAGGATTAACCATTACCTGTAAGAAATCCGGTCGTTCATTTGGTAAGGAGTTAATACGAAGCAACATTTCAGAAAAATGAATCTTTGCCAGAGAATTTCTTGAAGTGTACTGCGCTCCCGAGAAAATTTTTAAACTAATCTCGAACTAAAGTGATGGCGCTCAAATCAAGAATAACAATATTCTGTCTTAATTTATGACCACTGACAATACTTTTTTTCCTTCGTTTCTATAGCGAAACAGTTTCTTCCTTCGTTTCTATAGCAAAATGATTCCTTCCTTCGTTTCTATAACGAAATAGTTCCTTTGTTCGTTCTATAGCGAAATGATTTCTTCCTTCATTTCCATAGCATAATGGTTCCACCTTCGTTTCTATAACGAAATGGCTCCTTTGTTCGTTCTATAGCGAAATGATTTCTTACTTCGTTTCTATAGCAAAATGGTTCCTCCTTCGTTTCTATAACGAAATGGTTCCTTTGTTCGTTCTATAGCGAAACGATTTCTTCCTTCGTTTCTATAGCGAAATGGTTAGCGGCTTGAAACGAGAAATGGTTGAGCAGAGTTCGAATTCAGGTCGAGTTCCTTACATTTACTTTCGTGGTAAAAGTAAGAATCCATCCTTCTCCTCCCAGATATTGTTCCCTGGCTGTGGCTGGCAAACAGTCTAGAAGAAGGAAAACACAAAAGCTTAAGCTGTACAAAGATAGTTAAGCATGTTGGCCGGATATTATGTCTGCAAAAAACCCCCAAAAAACAAAAAAAAATTAACAGTATAGATGATCCCATTGGAGGCCGACTATCCAGAACGCTGTTCATCTTCTGTCCCTTGAGAATGTACACCTAAAATTTTCTCGTCTTTGTACACACTGAAGTGAACGAGAAGCCAGACACAACGTGGAGATTGATTTGGCAGTGAAAGACCAAGAGAGGAGCCCCGTTGTATGTTTACAACCTTATCGATGTAATAGGTTAAGGCGGGGTACATTGATACACGGGTTAGGTTGAGCCACAACGTATACTTCAGAAACGGTAGCGTCTATTTGTTTCCATGTGGTACCGGCTTCATTGCTGTTTATAAGTCGAAACCTCTGCGAATCGTGGAAGTTTGAAACAAATTTGTGGAAAATCAGCGATTTTAGGACGGCAAGTAAAATATATTTTTTGTTTTAATTTTTTTTCTGATTCAAATTCACTTGCAAATATGTTTATGCCCTTGTAAAATGATAAATGGAGGCACGGTGGAATAATGGATAGCGGCTCGGATTGAGGAATCGGAGAGCCGAGTTCGAATTCCAGTCGAATCCATTACATTCAGTTACTTGCTAATACCCTTGGGAAAGGTATGAATCCGCTTCTCCCCACCCAGCTATGGGTAAATAGCAGGACAGACCGGGTTCTATAGCCTTGGATGGCAAATGTTATACCGCAGAAAGAAATGGCAACCTACTGCGGGAAAAAAAATCTGCCTCGTCAGTCATGTATCGAAAGATACATAATCACCTAAACGTGTATCATGCATGGTACAAAACTGGCACAATATGTTAAAATATTATTATTTTCCTTGAACATTGTCCACTTACAAATAATGTGGGTTTGGCACCAAGCCTTTGAAAATTTACTTGGGTAGATCGATGCAAGAAAGAAGAAAATTTTCACTGACACACCAGTGAAATATATGTCAACCAAAAATGCGAACATTGACAAGAAAATCTCAAAGGAAGAGGGACAACAGTATGGAAAGAGCAAAGGTGAATGAGAAGAAAGTACCTGTCAGCAAAGATTGTGGATTAGACGCAGATGAGCGGTATTGCATTTATTGTTGTGGTGCGTATGGAAAACTCTTGGAGTGGATGCAATATTCGCTTTGTGGAGATAAGGCTCATGATGAATACATTCACTTTGGGGTGGAAAACCTTGTTTTTATTTAACAGCGGTGCAAGGATGATAATGAGTAAATTCTGTTTAACAGATATATATTTACTCATTGGTATCCGTTCCTATATATATATATATATATATATATATATATATATATATATATATATATATATATATACTAGCAGCATGGACCGGCGTTGCCCGTTCTTGATTCAAAAATCGTACGACTCATACAGCAATCGCTATCACTTGACTTAAAATATTTTTGCCCTTTCTTGCCTTTAAAGGAGTGCCCTTTGCCGTGCTGATGTTGCTATATGCCTTACTTCTTGCCTATCTCACACTGCGAATTTTTTCTAAGCTCTATACTAAACGTTAAATCTGTTACGAAAAAAGAACTAAACAAAATGAACACAAAACGATCAGCTTTAAAAAAGGACTCGTAACTGGAAAAACCGAATGAAAAAAGAATGTTAACAACAAATACTTTTTCACGCCCAACCCAGTTCTGCGGAATCAGAATCAACGTTGAGTTTAAGCAAGCGAATGAGCCAATTGGAGTAAAGTGCCATGCAGATTTAAATTTTCCTCACTTGTGACGAATGCAGCTATCGATATTTTTTTTGCATGCTAGCATGCTAGTTAACATTCGTGTCAGTCACCTGGTGGCTCTCACGCTGGCCAATAGAATCTTCCTGCCTATTCGTGGCAGCCAGCTATAGGCTCTCACTCTGGTCAGTACGAAATGGCCGCAAACTACATGAAAACTGCCGTAGAAGCATGAAAAATCGATTATTTCCTCTATCGATGGGAGTTGGGAAATGCAAAGTCGGTCTTGGCCTTTCCGCTAACTTGCAGCATGTGCATGTAAATTTTGGTGCAAATCCGTCGAAGATTGCGGCCGTGCATTCGTTACACACACACACACACACACACACACACACACACACACACACACACACACACACACACACACACACATCCTGCCTTTTATAGATAGAGATTATTCTGTTGATTCATGTATTCTCATGGCCATATTAAAAATAGCGTTTAAACCTACTTTTTACGTTGTTAATTCTTTGCATCGATTTCTTTAATTCTGCATCAACATTCCCCACTGGGTTCATCAATGTGGAGCCGGTTGATTCATTTGATATGCTGTCATAAAGCTATAATATTAAGAAAATTCTCCATTCTATGCGTTTTAAAGCACATTTAACAAATGGCCAACATACTGGAGTATATGCTTACGATGTTTCAGTTCAAACAGCGGGGCTGTAGTTGTTTAGGGTCAATTCGGAAAAAAAATGTATCAACGTGTCCCGCCTTACGCTACTAGGATGATAATACATATCAAATATATATATATATTGTATCCGTTCTTAGTTGCTATCATCACTGTAGAGTTTTGTTTCTTATTTGTTGTACAAAAAGATTGCGTTATCTTATGAAAGATGGCGGACGCACGAGCGTTAGTTTTAAAAATACAGATTACTATATTAGACCATTAAAATCTATTAGTAAACTATGATATCTCGTGCACGAAATTTTACAGCATGAAGTTAACTAAAACAATTTCTAGACAAAATACATTTGAAAGAAGCAGAAGATTAAGCGAAAACGTGAATAGAAAAGTGAAGACAATAGAAAGAAAAAAAAGGTCTCCTTCAAGAATGAAAATCACGATTTGAATGAAAGCAAAGTAAAATCGAAAACACTTCAATTCTAAGACTAAAATGAAAAAAAAATTAACAACCTGAAATAATCCCTAAAGTATTTAAAGAAACCATTTAAAAAAGGACTACATTTTTAAAAATTCAGAATGAAGACTCCAAGTATAAAGTAGCCAGAGGAAATCTCCGCTATTAAATTAAAAAACAAAATTGTTTTCAAATAAACCTCACTTTGTATAGCATTGGGTAATTTGATTAAAATTCTGTAACTAATCATATGAAATCAGGAGTAAATGGTAATAATAATAATAATAATAATAATAATAATAATAATAAGTACTTGGAGAATCCATGAATGGTTCGTTTTTATATTAATTTTCAAACAATACAAAGCCAAAGTGCCACTCAAGGTAGAGGGTTACTGTCTGGTGTTGTATGAGCGTAAGAAAGGACAAGAAGGGAAGATAGACGTTGCAATACGTCGGAATAAGAACACCGTGAAGGCGGAAGAGGGGGAAATACAGATATACCAAAACCTGGCGGTATACCTGGCATCATTGAGAGTGCGTAGGTGGCAGCGCTGCTTGCAACAACTCATTTGTTGAAGGAAGTGTTGTATCGCTAAGCTACGGGTAGGATCATCAACCAGCTTAAATATCTTAAATTAAAGAGTCGGGAGGATATATTATTATTATTATTATTATTATTATTATTTCTACTACAGCTGTGCCGTTACTACTGTCCAGAAGGTAGACAGTGTGGGATCATAGATACCGAGGTACTAGTTACATCAGGGTAGCTGAGAAAGAAAAGAATAACGAAAGATATCAAAGTTTGAAGCATGAGATAGTACGCTCGTTAGTGTCCAATAACGAACCCCATTCAGTTAGCAGCAGTAACAACAGTAATATATAATAAAAAGGGGCTTAACTCTGTCCTAGAAAATGCTTAATCGTCATTACTGTTATTTTAACAATTACATATATTTTTAACTTTATATAACAAACATAGCTGGTGCTGCTGTTTGGGTGCCCTTGATAGAGTGGAGGACAGAATCGAAAAATAGCTCGGTAAAATTGGGACTGATTCGAAATGTCTCAGAAAACAGCATTGTTTTGGGATAGCCAGAATTCTGAAAAGGGTTTTGTCAACTTAAAGAGAGGAAGAAATGGCACCACCCATTGTCATTTGCTATGAACCATTTCCTGATCGTTAAATTACAATATAAAGTATGCTTAAGAAAAAAAAATCAAACAATTTAATAATTCTCAATGTGTATTTATTTATATATTCCCTGTATATTTATATGTTTCCTGTCACATCTGTAGTGGGAAAGGAGATAAATCAACTAAAGTTAGTAAATTTATGAGTGCTTACTTCTCTTAGTTGCCTTAATACAATCTATACAAATAAAATATTTATCTGCATTTAGACAAAAATAGTTCGCGAGCAAAATGAACCGTTTAATTAATCAGTTTCTTAGATTGCAGACTTATTTGTTCAAGCCTTTCACGTGAGACACTCCGATACCATTGTCTATTAAGTAATCGTCTAGCTTCAACTTTGTTTTGAAATAGGTTTTGTCGCCGCCGTCTTTGTCGTTCTGCTGCTAATCTTTTTCGTCCGAGATATATTTAAACGCATAAAATTCTTAGCATGGAATGATATTGAGAAGAAAGCTATTTATATAATACCAGGAGAAATCCAGATACAACCGAACGTCTAAAAATATAAAGGAAACAAGTTAATTAAATTGTTTATTGGCCTCGATTTTAGTTGTGAATTCTTTATCTTCACTTTATTGAATTTCAATACAGTGCTTCAAGGCATTTCACTATTAAAACTTATAATTGCCATCATTTCTGACGGCACGGGTACACTAGTTAATTAATAAAATAATAATATGAAGAAATTCTTTAGCGCTACACCAAGACTGGAGGTGTTAAGATCCAGAAGTTTTGTTTTGGGATATGGTATATATCCGAGATTTTCTAATGTGTTGCCTGGCATTAACCAATAGAGATGCCGCACTGTGGATATCTGTTCATGAGCGGGAGTAGCACCAAGACCTGGTTGTTTTCTTTGGTTTTAAGTTTAGTGTATGGGACAAGACGACTTGGGGGTAACGCCTAGATATTTGGAAACATTCAGAATCGGAGACCGCCTCAAGGTATTTATAACTGGGTATCCCCTCTAATTAATTATATGTATAAGAAAGGGGAGAGAAAGATAGAGAGAGTGACAGAGAGATAGAGAGGTACACAGACACATAAATACAGATATATATATATATATATATATATATATATATATATATATATATATATATATATATATATAATATATATAAGAATTTAAACTTTAAATATCAATGCTTAATTTGAAAATAACAAAGAAATTTTGATAAAATCTATTGTTTTGGAGTTATTGACAATAAAAGTTCGAACTCATTCGCGTCGCGGTGGATGAAGTTAAAATTAATTCTGCATCTTTTTCAGAATAGATTGAAAGTAATTTTTTTTTATCCATGCATTTTATATGTCGACAGTATGTTTTTAAAATTAGGATATATAATCCCAACAAAGTTTTAAATTTTCGCTTTTGGATCTGATGAAGCCTTAAACAGTTCATGATCGGATATATTTCGAAACAAATATACTTTCATGAACGTTTTCCAATTGATTGATATATAAACTCAAATCATATTTAAAAATACTCAAACTGCTTGCTCGTCCTGGGTAAGACGATAAACTACGTCCAACAGCAAGGCCTCTGATCAGGAGGTTTTGAGGAGTGTGGAACCACCCTTTAATTGATGGTGTTCCCAGGTCCACCCTGACCCGGGGTGATAGCACCTGTTAGGGTCCCAGCTATGGACAAATAGTTAACTATTACCAGCAATACTTTTTGAAAAATACAATTTTGAAGGAAAAATATTAACTGAAACAGATTTTTGACAAAACAAAATGTTACCAGCAATAAAACATTTTGTCGTCATTAAATAACCCATTGAGGTTGATATGTTGTAAAACAAAATAAACCAAACCAATCTAAACCAAAGAATACATATTCTATTCATACGAATCTATCCTAAAAATGTTGTCGGCATTAAATAACCCATTGAGGTTGATATGTCGTAAAAAAAATAAACCAAACTTAAAGATCTGTTTGCTAGATCTAAGTGAAAATTGTTTTATTTTCAAAATGTTTTAACGGTACTGCGCTACAACGTGCCGTTTTTTGTCTATTATGCTAATTCAGAAATCTGATCACTATAATGCCAAGCTCCCTCTGGCTCACTACCACAAATGTAAGGCGTCTAAAAAAAAAGGCCAGATCTAACGAAATTTGCGAGTAAGTTCTTCGCAAATTTGCCCTCCAGCACACGCCCTTTAAGCTTAAATTTAACGACAGACAATCTTTTAATGGTCCTGTGCTAAATTGCTGTAATTTTCCTTGCAAAAAATGCAATTAACGTTTATTTTCTTTACTTTCAGTTTTCAAGTCGAAAGATATAAGCTTTCAGAATGGTGACAGAACTAACTTTCAACTCGAGAGTTTTATGCAGTTCAAGCCCCGCGCTCAATTTCTAATAAAAATTTCCCAAATAGTATCATTTAGGTGTAAATGTACATTGCTTAATTTGAAAATAACAAAGAAATTTTGATAAAAATCTATTATTTTGGAGTTATCAACAATAAAAGTTCGGACTCATTCGCGTCGCGGTGGAAGAAGTTGAAATTAATTCGGCAGCCATAAATCCTGCGTTCTAGTGGCGTTTTGCCTCACTTGGGGTGTAACGATTTAAAAAAAAGTTGATTCCTGTATTTGAGGAGAGGCTCAATTTTTGAAAATAGTGTTTATTTCGTCCATGGTAGACGAAATAAAAACAGTTTACTCGAATGCAGGTATCTACTTTTAATAACATTTAAAGTAATTAAAATATTTAAATATTTAAAGTAATTAAAATATGTCAGATTAAAAAAATAAAATCTTTTAATTCTTTATTAATGGGTCGATGGCGGCATATTAACAAATATTTACTTTGTTACTTTAATAATAATATAACATAATAAATCAAATAAAATCTTATAATTTAATTAATAATACAAATTAACAAATATTGCAATTTAAGTAACAATATAACATAACCTAACAACTTTAATATAAACCCCCCAAAATTAATTTTGTACAAAAATTTAATTTCGAAGAATTTACAACTGAAAGAATAATCTACAATTGAAAAACGAAGACGTAAACAAAAGCAAACTTTCATGCACATGCACGTATAAAAAGAACGTTAAATTTATGAATGCACACGTATAAAAAATGGATTGACAAAGACGCGGAATAAATTGAAAAATTGGAAATATTTAAAAAACAGAACTCCTTGATGAATGGTCATTACCAAGAAATTTTGAAGTCAGGGGAAACAACAACAAAAAATTGATATTAAAGTTAAGTAATCTTTTATAATATATATATATATATATATATATATATATATATATATATATATATATATATATATATATATATATATATATATATATATCAAAATATCAAAGTGTAGGAGAAATCGAAGTAACACTAATTAGTAACACCATAATTCCCCACCTGAGACGTTGAAACAAAATGTACAATTTTGTAGTGGATATGTGCATGTTCTAATGTAACACTGCACTGCATATATATATATATATATATATATATATATATATATATATATATATATATATATGCATGTTTCATTAAAATAATAGACAAGTTTTGTCTATTTATTTTATGTAAATTCTTTTCATATTGTCTGATAAGCTTAATAACATTATCATTATAATATTCAGACGACATGAAAAGAATTTAAATAAAATAAATAGACAAAACTTGTCTATATTATTTAATGAAACATGCATCAATGAAAAAATATGCTACCTAAATACACACAATATATATATATATATATATTTATATATATATATTTATATATATATATGTGTGTGTGTGTGCGTATCGGACTAAAGGTGGCTAATTGAATGACAAAATATAAAAATCCCAATGTAACGTGTAACTTCTTCAAACTGAATAAAAATCAAGTAAAAAAAAAAACTAACCTCTCCTTAATGATAAATAACAGTATAAGAAATTGACAACTGCTCACAAAACGATGTTATTTCACTTTCGACAATGATTTTTATAAGCATAAATTCGGATTGCCGGTGGGATCAGTTCTGTGATTTTCCTTTAGAATTCCTCGAGACTACTCTTCAAAATATTTTGCATAAACAATCAACATATTTCCCATATTGTGATGATGCTTTTTTAATATATTCAGCAAAACAATATGACTTGATCTCGTAAATAAACTAAACAATGTCGAACATTCGTACAAATATTTTCTTTTCTGTTCGTGTGCATGTCGATGAGACACATACAAAAAAAGGTTTAAAATAATGGCAGCTTTAATAATAAAATAGGAGAAGCCACCTCTCAGTAATATCAACTATGGACACGGCTATAACGTGCTCACCGTGTTGGGAAATTAATAAAATATTCCCATCCCTCAGTTATGTTCCATGCGTGATAAACGCTTAGGCGATCATGTATCTTTCGATACATAACTGACGAGGTAGATTTTTTTCCGCAGTAGGTTGTCACTTCTTTCTGCGGTAGACCAGTTGCCATCCAAGGCCATAGAAACTGGTCTGTCCTGCTATTTTACCCATAGCTGGAGGGGAGACGAAGAGGATTCATACCTTTCCCAAGGTTATGTAATGGATTCAAATGGAATTCGAACTCGGCCCTCCGATTCCTCAATACGAGCCGCTATCCTTTACTACATTGCCTCCCCATTCCCATCCCTGACCAATTAACTCCCCAGACTGCAACCCCTTGATTATTATGTGTGGGTGCAGTTGAGCGAAAGACCAACAAAATTCCTTGTAACACTAAAAAAGAACTGAAGGCAAAGATTGTGGCAGCACTCACCAGCTTATACAAGGAGACCGTCCAGTAGAGTTGGAGGAGATTCCGAAGTCGTCTGGAGGCCGTGGTTGAATCCAATAGCGATTTTATTGAATAATTTTACTCTGTAATGTTTCAAGATATTTTTGTGTAGGCTTGGTAAATATATCTGTTAAAATGAGGTATCAATATTGTTTTCATTTTTTTTTTTTGCGTAATTTAGACAACAATTTATCCATCGCACCCTGCAAATAGATAGATAGATAGATAGATAGATAGATAGATAGATAGATATGTACCGACTTGGATAGATACGTTTTACACAAGTGGGAGAAATTCTCTTGAATAAAAATCGAAATGGATACAAAGAAGGATTCTGAGAGTAAGCACTTAATTCAATTTCCAAAGTTAATGGAATAATAATGGAATATAATAATGGTCATATTAAAAAAATAATTACTTTCTTTGAAAACAAAATTTCTGTCGGGAGAATCAATCTTACCATATTGGAACTGTTGAGACATCTGTTGGTGTTTTATTAATAGATGAAAGGGCAAATAATTGATTTCTCTTTTAGCTTTTCGACCACCAACAGAACGACAATATTCTTTCTTTTATCAAAAAGAAATCGAATTAAAAATATTAAACTTGTTCAAGAGAACATATTTTATAAAAAAGTGTTAAGTGTAATTTTTTAAAAGTATTTTTAAAAGTGTTACTTTTTTTAAAAGTTTTGAAACAGTGTTATCAAGCGTATTTTTAAAAGTGTTATGAAGTGCATTTAAAAATTTCAAAGTGTTAACGTGTATTTTTAAAAATTACTTTTAAAAGTGTTATCAAGTGTATTTTTAAAAGTGTTATGACATTTACTTTTTTAAAACATTTTTCAAAAATTTTATTAGTGTATTTAAAAAAAATCAGCGAGAATAATTTTTTTCTTATGTCCCACGCGTTAATTTGAGTTCATGCCTTTGTTCTGATGTGTAGAATTACTTTTTACTTATCCAGAGCCTGCGTGGATAGTCAATGGTACTAGTTTGTTAGCGAACAGGTTCATACCTCAAGATCTGTGAGAATATCATGGTTACATAGTTATCTTCTGCTTCAATCATTTTACCTCCGTGGAGTTTTTGTTAGCTTCATATTTAAGAACGGCTCGAAGAAGATGCTGTAGTGAAACCGAAGATGAATCTTTAAGGTCCTTTTAGACTAATCTTGAGTCTTCTAATAGAATTCGATGAATCTCAAAAGGAAACTAGATTGTTGATAGACGTAGAGGTTTTGCTCGGCAGAGTTATGTCTGTGTGAAAAACCATTATCTGTCTTCCACTGCACGTATTATCTTTGTTGTCCAACCAATATTGAGATTGATCCTAAAGGATATTCTAACCTCCCTATCTTATTAGTTCAATAATTTGCCAATTAAAATGTCAGTCTGACACTAACTATATGTGTAGAACGGGTCAAAGTATGGAAACAAGGTTAATCAGTACGAACCAGCCAATATTCGCAAGTATAAAGTGGACAATTTGCATAGGTGTGTGAATACAACTGGTTCGGTAATAATTGGACACTTTTAAGAAACCAGTGCCAGATCTTATAGCCAAAACATGTTCCCAGTATTAATTAAGAAAGGCTAATTCTGAATTTCATGTGAATTCTATTTATAATAAATCCAACCAACAATTTCTCAGTAAGAAGTGATTTTTAGGTTTAAATATGATTAGCCTGTAATTGTTATATATTTATTACATAACATTCGGTCTTTGGTGATTAGAAGTTAGTCACTGTGCACAATTTTGGTCCTCGATTGAGCTCTGATGAGAGCGGACAGATAAACTGGGTTAACCGGCTTTTTAAAAAATCATATTATATTTCGATATTACCATTTTACGGTAATGTTATTTTTTGTTACCTCTTTTTTCGCATTTTTTTTTGTGGTTTTAACATTTAATCATTTCACACCAAGCAAAGTGATAAAGCAACTAAGACGTAGGGGATAATTGCAGACAGAGTCTATCAAGCTCTAGATAAAAATGGTGATCCCAGGCTTTAGCCTTGGACATCTCGAAAGCTTTCAAAAGGGTTTGGCATGCAGGTCTTCTCCACAAACTGAAAGGTTACGGTGTCTCTGGACAAATTGTTGAACTAATCCAATCAAAGTAATCCTGAATTTCCACTCCTCCAATTCCTTTCGTACTAATGCAGGTCTCCCCAAGGGCTCCTATTTTGTCTTTGATTTTCATTAAGTACCTTCCGGATGGCATCAGCTCTCAACTTGGTATAAAAAGTGATGACACAACTATTTACTCCTGTTTCGATATTAAGTCCGATCAATTTGATTAGATAAAAATGGCAGCTGATATCCAAAACAAATTCAGTTTGTTGTTAAATGGGACAAAGAACGGTTTGTTAATTTTAACGTTTCCAAAACTAAATTTCTCTGTATTAATCTTCTGAGAGAACTCACTCTGCCTTCCATCAGCATGGCTGATGCTAACCTCCAGGAAAGTAAGTCGCTGCGCCATCGTAGTCTAACGTTCTCGGCTGATATGAAATTGAAAGATTATATTGAATCCATTGCTAGGTCAGCTGCCAGGAAGGTTGATTTACTGTGTCGTGCAAGACGGTTTTCTCTCCAGAATTTATCTTACATATCTATACGTCTATTCATCTATGCTTAGAATAATGCTGCCACATATGGTCCGGTGCTCCTGCTATTCATCTACAGATCATTGATAAAATCCAAAGAAGAATCAGTTGTTCGCCCCGATATGGTGTCTCGCCTTTATTCACTTTCCCACCACCATAGGGTGGCCTCCCTTTGGCTTTTCTATAAATACTTTCATGGTGGTTGTTCGGATGAGCTCTTCGTTATGGTGACGTGGCTCTTCGAATTTAAGCGCAGTACTAGACTGGCGATGAGGTCTCACCAATTTACCGTTGAATTTTCTCGATGTAACTGTAAATTCTATGTTAACAGTTTCTTTTCTCGCACTTCTCGCTTGTAGAACTTCTTTCCGGCTCCATGCTTTTTACAGTCAATTTTAATCTGCTAAACCTTAAATGCAATGTCAATCGCTATCTGCTGTCCCAATTACTTTTCCTCTGTTCTCGCTCCTTAGCAATGTTCAACATTCAGTAAGTTCATTTGTTTCTGTGGCTTTATTGCCTTACTTGGGGTGAACTCGATTAAAAAAATACCGAGAGTAATAGAAACAGTTAAAAAGTTAGGAAAATAAACGATCAGTATTGAAAAAGACAGAAGATGCGAATTAACGTTAGATTTAAATTTTTGAAGATCAAAGTTGACAAGAAAGTAGAAAGCTTGATTTTTGTATCTCCAATTTCTAATTTGTATGTTGGGTTGTCCCTTTTGTTGACAACCATACATTCTGTCTTCTTATAATTGATGTTTAGTCCATTCTTCTCGTTTTCCTTTACTACCATCTGTAGGAATCCCTGTCGTTTCCTTTCTGTATCTGCTATGAACATTGTGTCATATGCATATCTTATATTGTTAAGATTGTTCGCCAATAATGAATCCTGGTAGGACTTCTAATTCTCTCAAGAGTGCTTCAATGTTTCTCTAAAACTTGATTGTTGCTCATGTGTTCAGTCCATGGTATTCTCAGCATCCTTCTGTAGCACCACATTTCTGTTGCCTCAAGTCTATTCTGCATCTGTGATGAGATAGTTCAGCATTCACTGCCATATAGGAGTACTGATATTGTATAACAGTTCAGTACTCTTTTTTTTGCTTCCAATGAAATTTTTCCGTTTTTTAATACTTTGATTAACTTTTAAAAGGCATCTTTCGTTATACCAATGCGCCTTTAGATTTCAGTGTTGCATTTTCCATCCTCTGATAAAATACTTCCAAGGTATTTAAATTTTTGCACTTGTTTAATTTTGTTATCTCCAATTTGTAATTTGTAAGTTGGGTTGTCCCTTTTGCTGACAACCATAAATTCTGTCTTCTTATAATTGATGTTTAGTCCTTTCTTTTCATTTTCCCGTAGTTTCCTTTCTATATTTGCTATGAACATTGTGTCATCTGCATATCTAATGTCAAGATTGTGGCCGCCAATAATAAATCCTGGTAGGATTTCTAATTCTCTCAGAAGTACTTCACTGTAAAAGTTGACTAGGTCTGGCGAGAAGAGACATCCTTGTCTTATGCCCATTTTTATTTATGTATATTTATTGAATTTATTTTCTAACCCGATGCAGGTGGTTTTCTCGCAGTAGAACATCTGGGTTATTTCAGTGTGATTGTTTGATTTTGCTATCTCCAAATCATAGTTCAAATCTTGGGCCATCCCTTTTGCTAACAACCATACATTCTGTCTTCTTACAATTGGTAGTTAGTCCTTTCTTCTCGTTTTCCTTTACTACCATTTATAGGAGTTCCTGTAGTTTCCTTTCTGTGTTTGCCCTAAAGAAATCTACCTTCGTAGTATTTTGGTTCGAAGAAATCAGAGAAGTTATGCAGTAACAAGCAGATGGACAAATAGAGTTCAGTCGGTTAAGATTTATTGATGCAAGATTTATTGACTGACTTAAGTTGTTGCACGAGCAGATTGATAGAAAACGAATCAATATATTAAAAATATGCGCAGGTGGAGGCAATCAGATAGACAACTCTCATCGATTTGGCATAGTCTCTCGACGTTTAAAGAAACGATCCAAACATTATAGTTAGGGAAAATAATCAGCTGGACAGACTCGTCACTTAGATAGATGCAGAGTTTGTTTTACCGATTGCATATCGTGTGTTACCATTTGTGGCCTGCTTCATGGTTGATATAGTTGATTTGAATTTGTAGGTCTGATGAATTGGATCGTATTTACGATTCCAATGGAATAAATTTTAACCATGGAATATTAGTGTTTAAGCCTTTTTATTATATATATATATATATATATATATATATATATATATATATATATATATATATATGTGAAAAATATATAGAAAATAGGAAGGAACTGGTTAGGTAAATAATCCAAAGTCCTTTAGTATTTTAGTTATTATTTTTAAAAATAGTGCTCGATACAAAAGTAGAGCATAAATATAATTATTTATTTAAAAATATGATTCCAAATCGCTACATAAGAGGTCTCATGTTTCAAAACTAGAGCCGAAAACTTCAATATAATCCATTAAATTAAATTGAGTTGAAAGTAAAATGGGCTCCGTTACAACAAAAATTTCGCTTGAAGATGGAACGGAGCCCATTTTACTTTCAACTCAATTTAATTTAAAGGATTATATTGAAGTTTTTTGGTTTAGTTTTGAAACATGAGACCTCTTATGTAGCGATTTGAATCATATTTTTAAATAAATAATTATATATATATATATATATATAATTTTATTATTATAATAGATTACAATAAAAACATTTTACATCGCTACAAAAAACTTTCATGTTTCAGAACATATAATGGTTCCTCTTCGGGCGATGGTAGATAACACACACACACACACACACAGAGAGAGAGAGAGAGAGAGAGAGAGAGAGAGAGAGAGAGAGAGAGAGAGAGAGACATACAAATATAAATAGATAAATATATTAAAATTATATAGCATATAATGGTTCCTCTTCGGGCGATGTTAGATAACATATATATATATATATATATATATATATTATTAATTAACATATAACATAATGTAGATAACTTATATATATATATATATATATATATATATAAATTATATAACATATTATATGTTATCTACCATCGCCCGAAGATGAACCATTATAGTTCCGAAACATGAAAGTTTTTTGTGTAACGATGTAAAATGTTTTTTATTGTAATCTCTTATAATAAAAATATTATAATAATATTTTGCTCTTCATTATATTGAGGGCATTTTTTTAAAAGTAAATACTACGAACTGTGGATTCTTACCCCATCTGTTCTTTCCCTTATTTGGATATATATATATATATATATATATATATATATATATATATATATATATATATATATATAAGGGTTTTCAGTAAGACGGATCAAAGTCAACAGTAAATAATTTAGTGAAAATTTATTTATTTCTCTATTGGATCATGTTACTTAAGTCATGGCAATTATGGGTAAATACAATCTGCCAAATCTGAAAGAAAAGTAAAAAAAAAATATCACTAGCCGCTTAAACTTAATTCACATTAAAAGCCAAACAAATAATAAACCAATTACCAAACCATTCCCGTTAGAAATAGAATAAATAAAACCATTCCCGTTAGAAATAGAATAAATAAAAAAAAAGATACATAAAAAACACGTAAAAACCATCAGCTCAAATAAGTAAATTAACACACCGTCAGAATAAACTACAACAACCAATCCAAAAATTTGACGTAAAATAGCTATAACTAGTATATATCGATAAAAAGAATCATCACTACGTTACTCAAAAATCGAAAACCAAAAGAATAAATAAAAATATACAAAATAAAAAATAAGCAAATAAATAAATAAAAAATAATAAAAATTAATCCAAATAAATCAATAAATGAACAAATTAACAAATCGCCTCCGCTAAAATAACCGTTATAACTAATAAAAAAATAAGCATAGATAAGCAAAAACAAGTAAAAATAATCAATCCAAATAAATAAATTAAAAACTCTCCACCCGCCAAAATAACAGAATAGACTACGGCAAGCAATCTAAACATTGGACGAATAAATAGCTTTAATTATCTTCCCAGACTACAACAAACTATTAAATAAGCGACCTAAGAACCCCACCCACCACCAATTTTTTTACTACGTTAATAAAACATCTAAAAACGAAAAGAATAAATAATAAAAAATGAAAAATAAATAAAATAAATTAACCCAAAGAAATAAATAAATAAGCAAGCCACTCCCGCAAAAATAACCGCCAGAATAGATTACCCACAATGCACCACTGACACATATATATATATAAATAGCCGATGAAATATCCAGCATTAGCGGCCTGACGATTGCTTCAAGCATAAAACAACCTGTCGCCGCTGAGTGTTGACTTCAATGTTCCCTTATATATATATATATATATATATATATATATATATATATAGATAGATAGATAGATAGATATATATATATATAAGTGTACAGTGAGGTTAATACCAAGTGGCGACAGTCTGTTTCATGCTTGAACGCATCTTTAGGCCATGTATATTGTGTTTTAACTCGATTGTTTATATATGCTGATCAATTGTGCATTATGGGTAACAAGGTCTATTGTATTATCTTAACAGTTATTGGGTAGATAATAAAGATTATATTTCATATTATTCTCGAGGCTATTGAGTAGAAATAATTGTGGATCCAAATGCTGTTATTTGTAGCTATTTTATAGTATTCTTTGTTTTTACTTTTTACTCATTATTTATTATTGATTATTTAACTATTTGTTGTTGATTATTATTATTACATTTAATAATGTTTATGTGTGCATTTATAGTTTGTTAATTTGTTGATTATTTACTTAATTTTGTTTATTTATTTAGGATTTTTTATTTTATTTCTTTATTTGTTACAGGGGTTGTTTATCTTTTTTGTTTAGTTTAAAGTATTGGCTTTGTCTAATTAAAGTATGCTACATTATCTGTGTTTTAAATAATGTGTATAAAGCACACCGGCTCAAACGCTGGTTCCCCTACAAAGAGGGACACAGGTTCAATCCCTACCAAGAAATATATTATATTTATTAAGATTTCTTGAATGTGTAGGCCAATAGAATAATAAATAAATAAAAACAAATAGCGTGTCTATTTCAAATAGGAAGTATCCACAATAATAATGTTTAAAGTAATACATAAATATAAAAATGAACCCTGATGTCAACACTGAATAGCAACAGACTGTTATGTTTGGACGCAATATTTCACGGCATGTGTGTTGTATTTGGGTTGACTATTTATATATGCTAGCCAATGGTGCATTATGAGTAGCAAGGTCTATTGTATTATCCTAACAGGTAGGTGGTAACGGCTATATTTCTAATTACTCTAGAATAAGAATAATTGTGGATTCAAATACTGTTATATTTAGCTATTTTATAGTATTGTTTGTTTTTACTTTTTACTTATTATTTATTATTGATTACTTAATAATAAAAATCAACAACAGATAATTATTACATTTACTTTTTTTAAGCGTTTTACCCCAAGCAAGCCGGGAAGCCACTAGCACGTAAGGGGTTACAGAGAGTTGGAGCGAGAGCAAATAGGAGTGATAGAAGAAAGGATAAAGAGAAGGATTAGGGGATAGATCAAGGCATCTGGAGACGTCGATTGATATTACATATGAATAGTTGGAGATTATAGCTATCAGAGTAACAGGAAAAGGGGAGGGAGTTCCACAAGCGAGAAGTGCGAGACATGAAACTATTGGAGTAGAAGAGACGGCTACATTTTGACAGTGAAAGGGTGAGAGCGAGATGCCAGCCTAGTAGAACGCTTAAATTCATGAAGTCTGGGAACCAGCGAAAGCAGCTCCTCGGAGCAGTTACCATGAAAGTATTTGTAAAAAAGACAGAGGGAGGCAACGGCACGTCTGTGAAAGAACGACTGCAGACGAGATGCCAGATCAGAGCCAATTACATTGCATATCCGTCTCTGGATTTTATCGACGACCTTGAGACAAACAGAAGCGGCTCCAGACGATATATGGCAGCATTACTCCATGCAACGGCGAATGGCTGATTTGTAGATTTGAAGGATCGACCCCGGCGAGAAAAATTTCCTAGCGCAGCACAGGGAGCCAACTTTGTATTTATGTATGTATTCGTAGTTTGTTAATCTGTTTAATTTGTTTGCTTATTTACTCATTTAGATTTTTTTGTTTTATCTTGTGCCAAACTTAGCTATGGTTGGGGAATTGTTATATGGTTCATTGATCTGTTGAAATTTGGCGAACCGTAGTCATTATACCCATTTTATCAGACATTTCTGCTTGGCCTCGTACCAGACTAGGTCCCGTAGATATCCCGAAACTTGGCCTCTGAAAATAAGCACCCACACTTTGAAGATGTTATTCTGTCTAGTAAAATCTCTTTATTATTAAAACTAATTCAACTTGAGATTGAATCTAAATGAACAAATCCACGTCTGTTCCTTGGAATTTCTCTTGTTTTCTCCTCCGATCAATAATTTGATGTTTCCCTTAGCGGCATTCGCGAAGAATCTACCGCTTCGCTTTAGAGAAAATCTCCAAGAGATTTATTTCCCTTCAAAATCGGTTTATGGGATAATCAAAAAAAAAGTCTGTACAAATCAGATTTGCAACTGAAATTGATTTTTATTTTCGATTAGAAAAATTGTAGAAAATATTGACAAAAAACGATAGAGTTTTTTCCTGGTATGGCATATGTGCAATTATTGGTTGATTAATGGATTTTATGTTATATCAACACCTTTGAGGTTATTTAATATTGAAATTATGCTTGAATCTATAGGCAAACTTTGGTCGGGTTTATACTAGGGTTTATAGTTAAATATTGTTCGAGTTTATAATTGTCTGTATAAGCAAACTTTATACTTGAGTCTATATGTCAAAATTGGCGAAGTTTATATTTAAATCTGTAGATAAACATTGGTGAAGTAATACTTGAGTCTATGAATAAATATTAATCGGGTTTATACTTGAGTCTATGAATAAATATTGATAATTTTTATACTTGAGACTATAAATAAATATTGATCGAGTTTATACTTGAGCCTATGAATAAATATTGATCGAGTTTATATTTGAGACTATGAATAAATATTGATCGAGTTTATACTTAAGACAATAAATAAATATTAACCGGGTTTATACTTGAAACGATGAATAAATATCGATATGGTTTATACTTGAGTCTATACGTAAAGATTGGTTGGGCTATAATTGTGTGTAGAGGTAAACATTGTCTGAGTTTATACTTGGGCATATGTGGAAACATTGGCTTGATTTTTTGTTTGAGTCAGTAGGTAAAAATTAATCGAGTTTATCGTTGAGTATATAAGTAAACATTGGTTGATATTGGTCTGTTTTAAATTTGAGTATATATATATATATATATATATATATATATATATATATATATATATATATATATATATATATATGAGGGCAAAAAAAAAAAATGGACGCATCCATAAAAATTGATTTTGTATTTTTACTAAAACAATTGAATAATAGAATCCGGTTATTAATATAGTGTATTAATACAAATGTACATATGTACATTATACAAGTCAAAAATGATTTCGTATTTTGTTGGGTAAACTTTTGCTTTAATAACGGTCTTAGTTCTTCGTGGCATGCTATAGACTAAATTCTTTAGTAAGTCAACGTCCTTCTACATATTTTTCCAGCAATCCTTTAATTCGCAAAAAAAAAAAAAAGCTCATCTTCTGTGTTAACTTTCCTATTACGGGAACGCTTGTTCATTAAAGCCCAAAGGTTTTCAACTGGGTTAAAGTCAGGACTCTGGGACACTGGAAGAGTTGTAATTACTAAATTGACTTACTAAAGAAATTAGTCTTGCCACGAAGAATTAAGGAT